TGTACTGTTGGGAGTATGTACTCCCATCTTCAATATACCTCGTATACGCATTGATTATACCCCTTATCATTCTCAATATACTTCGTTAAATATTCTAAGATACCTCAATACAAGTTTTGTTGACAAAAATATTATTTATGACATACTTTTTGCAATATACCTTTTTCACGTACAAACAAATCAGTATATACGTAAACCTTCGAAAATATGAGGCACACATGATTTTTTTTTCATGAAATCCATTTTAGGGTATCTAGTAATTATTAATGAAGTATATTAAAAATAATAATAAGCTATAAAAGATTCATCTATGTGGTATATGAGGAGCGAGAGTACGTACTCCAAGAAGTACACAACCATTTTGGAGCACAAATTCTTTGTTATTTCAAACAAATTTGAAATCGCCCGTGTTCTTCATCCGCCCGAGATGCAACCCGCGCTTCTATTGATTTCTCGTTTTTCTTTAAAGTTTGCTGCCTGATTTGAGTACTTTAGTGAAATTCGAGGCTTACTAATCCGTAAATTTTAATCGGGAGGGTCCTTACGGTTTGATTTCTAGCGATTTGATGTTGGCACTCCCTGTGGGTTTCTGCACATGTTATTTTAGCGGTTTTGAAATTTACCCTCTGGTCCTTTCAGTTGTCGAAAGGTAGTTGCCAGATCATTTCCAAGGGGGTGCGGACGTGTTGCAATCTTGTGGAGATGATTTTATGCTTTGGACGAATTCGTTTGTTCATTATTTCTAGATCTTCTAATGGTCGTTGTACAAGCTGGACTTCTGTGTTTTCATACCTAAACTTCTTCTTTTCCTTCGTTGGATCCTGTCGGGGCTGGGGCGGCTCGGGATCGGGATCGGGGGAGGATCAGGTTGATCCTGTTGGGTCTGTCCGGGTTTCTGTGCTGGACTTCTGCGTCGTCATACCTGAACTTCTTCTTTTTTCTTTTGGCTGCAAGATAATGCAGCAAGTCCTTTGTATCAGAAACCCTTACTAGATTTTCTTCTGCAATTTTTGTTGTAGCTAGTGTGTAAGCGTGGAGCTAGACCACAGGAACATGCACCCTATTTTTCCCTTAGTCTATGCTTTGGTATAGCTTTTTGATCATCCACTTATCTTTGGTAAGATCTGGACTTCTCTTTTTTTATTAATGGTTGAACTTCTGGTTTTCCAGATTACATTCCACATTTGCAATGCGAAGGCGCATGGTGCTCTATATTTTTCTTTGTTTGGTTTCCTTTCGTATTTTTAATTCTTCAGATGTTCCTTTTTATACTTTTGTCTCATGAGCAATCATGGGATTAGCCCAAGTATGCATGCACTTTTTACAGATCATGTAAGGGTCATTTGTAGAAGCTGGACTTCTATGTTCTTTATATGTGAACTTCTGCTTTTTCCTTCTTTGCAAAGTAATAAAGCAATTCCTCTGTATATCCTTCTTTTTTATGTTACTTTTTCATTCTTTGCATTTGTTTGGATTTTTTTGAGTTAGTCCCGTGAACAGCCATGTAATTGGGCGATGGATATGCGTATTTTTTTATTTTTTCTAGTATGTTATTTGTACTTATAATATTTGTTGTTCTTTACTGAATAACTATCCTGAACTTCAGTGTGATAATCGTTTTTAACATGTTAAATTTGAGGTTGTTATTTTTTGGATTTAAATATTTGTAGATATTGAAATCGGAATTGCGCGTATTGACCAATGCGGTAACGAGAGGCCGAGCAGGGGGGAGGGGGTCGGGCCCCCCTCCCCTTCCCCTGCGAGGCCGAGACAGGAACGAGCCAGAGCAGGTGACGACGCGGCGTGCCACGTCGTCGCATGCGAAGGCGAGTCCGTCACATCCGTGACCCCACTATCTATCTTAGGGTTT